CCATTCCCGTCCATTTTAGTTCACTGACGCCCAGGATGTTGATGTTTATTATTGCCATCTCCTGTTTGACCACATCCAGCTTACCAAAGTTCATAGATCTTACATTCCCAGTTCTTATGCAGTATTTTTCTTTGCAGCATTGGACTTTCCTTTCACTTCCAGGTGCATCCGCAGCTGAGCATCCTTTTGGCTTAATTAGCTCTGGAGTTACTTGTATGTGTCCTCCGCTCTTCCCCAGTAGCATGTTGGACGCCTTCCAACCTGACCGCCTCATCTTCCAGCATCATATCTTTTAGCTTTTAGTTTCTATACATGGAGTTTTCTTGGCAAAGATACTGGAGTGGCTTGCCAGTTCCTGCTCTAGATGGATCGCGTTTAGTCAGAAATCTCAACTATGATCTGTCCATCTTGGATGGCCCTGCATGGCATAGCCCATTGTTTCTCTGAATGACCCAAACCCCTTCGCTACAACAAGGCAGCAATCTATGAAGGGGCCTGGGAGATTAGCGAGTTTTAATAGCATAAACTTCTCAAGAGTCCAGCTCACTGCATCTGAAGAAATGTGCTGGAGTCCATAAATCACATTAGACTTAAGTTCTCTTTTGGGTGTTCAGAACCAGGTGAATCAGAAAGCAAGAGGAGATAAAAGGTCCTAATCTCACCCACTGCCTTTTGCTATTTCCAAGAAAAGAAAGCATAGCTGAAGAGCAAAGCTTCTGCTATATGTGAGGTCTCTTCATGTCATTTGGGATCATGGAAAACCAGCATTCCTGGTTATATGAAGAACTTCAGTGTGTAGCAGGTTCCTCTCTGGGCCATCCCTTTTCAAATACATTTTTTGTAACACCCTCTCTGGGCCATCCCTTTTCAAATACATCTTTTGTAACACAACCAGCCTCTGTGGCCTTGGGCAAGCTATACTGTCCCAGCGTGTTCCCAAGAAGAAGAGAATACTATTTTTTGTCAACCAGCCTCTGTGGCCTTGGGCAAGCTATACTGCCCCAGGGTGTTCCCAAGAAGAAGAGAATAGTAAACAACTTCTGAGCACTTTCCCCTTAGAAAACCCTGAGCCATAAGAACTGACTTGTTGGCACACAGTTAACATATTATTATTGAAGGCGCCACAAAACTCTTTATTGACAAATACAGGAAGAGGCTACAGATCAACCAGCCTCTGTGGCCTTGGGCAAGCTATACTGCCCCAGGGTGTTCCCAAGAAGAAGAGAATAGTAAACAACTTCTGAGCACTTTCCCCTTAGAAAACCCTGAGCCATAAGAACTGACTTGTTGGCACACAGTTAACATATTATTATTGAAGGCGCCACAAAACTCTTTATTGACAAATACAGGAAGAGGCTACAGATGGAATCTGAGAGGAACATGAACAATTGTTGACTTCATTTTTGGACTACAACTTTCTCAACCCGTTTTTTTTTTAAAATATTTTTTGGGGAGGGAGGGATACAAGCGGCTCTACATTATGACTCTTGCAACCCTCTCAAAAAGCTTTCTGTGCTCTGGCTTTGAGACTATGCTGTAGAAAATTGACTCCCATTAAGTTTCGTGAGGCAAATAGTTAAATAAACTGCAATGCGGGAGACGTACAGGGGTTTCCCATTCCTGATCATTTTAAAGGATTTTGCTACCTCTAATAAAGACAGGTTTTCTAACAAGCACCTCAGTGATCTCCACCTCCTCCAGAGGTGTCGTGCTCACTACCTCCTGAGGTAATTGGTCCAGTTGCTGTACTATTCTAACAGTTCTAAGTTCATTGGTGTGGAATCAAGGGCAAGACCACTGGCGTGGCCTCGTTCTTTCCCCAAATCCAATTCTTTGGCTTCTTTTAACAGGTTAGGGTAGGGCAGAAGCAACAACAAGTCCATTAAGCAAGAGGAAAAACCCTTTTACTAAAATGCAAAGGAGGCTGTTAACATCTCCAAGACTAAAAGATTTATTGTAGCTGGGGATGTGCACTGGCTTCTGAGAAAACTGTCCAAATGAGATGGAACAGGGATATTTGTGCTTTTTTGAATCATCTGAAAGATGAGTCATGAAGCATCCAGTTCACAGAATTATAGAATTGGAAGGGCCTATAAGGCCATCGAATCCAATTTGATATTTTATGCAGGAATCCAATCAAAGTATATCTGACAGATAGTTGTCTAATTTTCTCTTGAATGGCTTCAGCAATGGAGCACTCACAACCTCCTGAGGTAATTGGTTCCACTGTTATGCTATTTTGACAGGACATTTTTCCTGATATTCAACACAAATCTGGCTTCCTGTAACCTGAGCCCATTATTATATGCCCTGCACTATGGGATGATTGAGAACAGGTTCTGCCCCTATCTATATGAAAATCTTTCAAGTATTTGAAGAGGATTATCATATCTCCCCTCAGTCTTCTCAGGTCTAATCAAATAATCAATTAATCAAATAACAACGTAAAAAAATCTATCAAACAGGAAAAGCACCCACTTACCCCACCCCAGACACCCGGGGGGAAGGGGAATAACAAAATAAAGAATATACATGCAGTCCCTCTCCAAAAACCCAAGAAAAGCATGCAAGTAGGTAAGTGCAAAAAACACAAATAAAGCCTCCCACAAACCAAAACTACTCTCCCCTCTATCACTTTTCTTCTTCTCTTCTTTTGAGTTCAGCAAGCAGCAGCAGAAATGATCTGAGAAAGCAAAGGACCAAAAAAAGGAAAGGAGAGGAGAAATCCTCAAAGATAATGATGAGTGAAGGGGGTCCAAAATAACCCAAAGGACTGGAGTAGAAAGATTGGTTTCAGACCCTTTTACAAATTCAAACTCTCACTGGATGTTCTTATTGACAACTGACAGTCCTTGTTGGTCACACCACTGTGTTTTTGCAATGGCTCTCACATTATTGGGTGAAAAACTTTATTAACTAATTTGATGTACAAAGTACATCATGCCTTTTCACTACCTCCTGCAATGCTGTTGAATGAACAAATTATTAGGTGTTTTAACATACAAAGGGTGAAGGAAAAAATTACATGAAAGAGGGAGCACAAAAGAAACTCAAAACGTTCACGTGCCTCTTGTTTGTTAATATAATTTGTGTTTTAGAGGCTCTCTTTATGTAATCAACAAAAAATATGAAAGCAAAAAAAGAGAGATCCTTTTTCATGTGTTTGTTTTGCATAATCATGAAATGCTCATCCTTGATTGTAAATCCATGTTTAATGAGGTATCATGGTACTTTTTACGACTGAACATACATATCATCTTTTTAAACAATGTGTGCATTTCTCAGCTTTTCCCATTGTATAGGGCAGGCTAAAGGTTATTTGTGAGTCAACATTCCTAGGAGTGAGATTTTAAGTGAAACACGTAATATGAGGGTCAAGGCTAAGATAGCATCATTACCAATTGTGATCAGGAAAATGACATTGACAGATAAGAGACACATTTATTTATTTATTTATTTATTTATTTATTTATTTATTTATTTATTTATTTATTTATTTATTTATTTATTTATTTATTTATCGCCATCTGGCAGCCAAGGCAACTCTGGACAGTTTACAACAAATAACAAAGAACAACAGAGTAACAAAATAACAAATAGCGACATTAATACATAAGAGTGAAAATCAAAAATCATAAAGTGAAGTGAGAATAAAATATTAATAAAATAAATACAATAAAAAGCGTAGCATAATAAAAACATGGAGCATGGCAGTATGATAGGAGTTATATTATTACTATTGTATCAGAGTATAGTTTGTTCAGGGAAGGCCTGTCTAAATAGCCAGGTTTTTAGTAGCTTTTTGAATATGCCCAGTGAAGGAGCTAGGCGGACTTCAGGCAAAAGAGAAATTAATAATAAAATAGTAAAATAAAATTGTAAATTGAGATTATGTAAGCACTTTGTCTAAAAGCATGAAATGGGCTATTGAATATCTAGCAAAAAGGAAAGAAGGTTCAATACAGCAGAGAGGAGAAACACTTGCACAGATCAGCAAGAATAAGAAAAAAATGAGGAAATAAGAGAGGAAATGCTATTTAGTAGGAGCAGGATCTACAACTGGAAATAAGGGTAGGGGTAAGTAATTTCTGCTTTTAGCTAAATAGGAAGCCCAGAGAAAGACTGTAAATTGGAGATGCCATAATCTTAAGAAAGACATCCCAGAAAAATTATTCCAGCTGACATTCTTCTGATGAAAAAGCAGGGAGGTGAAAGAAAAGAGGAGATGACGAAAAAGAAGACCTCATCTTAATCAAGACTGAAAAGGAAAAGATGGCCAAGCCATGAATGAACATTTTAGCAGAAGAAACAAAAAAGAAAGGATCATAAACAGAATAACCCGTACCTTGTTGCTGTTTATCATACACACAGTTCCAACAGTGGAGCTGACAGCAGGTATTTGGTGAAATGCCAGTGTCTGCTGGCTGTATGCCTGGTCATGCAACCCGCTCCTCACCAAACAGTTCAAATAGTACTCGCCTTGGTTCCTACGATGATTGTTCTGCTTTTTTGAAACTGCAACAGCCTACTGACCTACAGTATGTTTATATCATACCCTGTGCGAATGTCAAGTTAGCCAGAGAGTTTAGGATTCAGTGAAATCACGAGAGGATTATGCAATTTAAAAAAAACTGCAGGAAAAAGACAAAATTAAACAACATTGCTTTTTTACTATGGCAAAGAAGTGTCAGCTTTTGTGAAACTACGACTGTCCCAACTGGGTCTCCAAAAATGCTGCACCCTATTTGTGGGTGGCAAAATCAATCGGGGAAGGAAAATTGCTGAATACTTTGTAACGAAAGAAAAATCCTCCAGTAATTTGAGGACGGCTGCCTCCCAATTTAGATAAGGGGAATGCCACTCACACTGTGGGAGTGTCCTTTCCCATTCTTTTCCCCATGTTTCCCCCCAAGTCTTTAGAGGATGATTCCCCCTCTAGATCAGATTTAGGGACAAACAGCATCTGTAGAAGAGAAAAGAATTTAACCGTGTAGATGAAACCAGAATATTTAACACCCAAACAGGACTTATCTTCAGATACCCAATGTGATTTAGAACATAGAGGGATAAGCTAGGATTCAGAAGAACTGGATTTGAATCCCCAATCAACCATCAAAACTTATTGCAGGGGCAGAACAGGCAAACCGCTCCTTAAATATCCCATTTACCTTGAAAGCGCTATTATGGTCTGTATGTGTCAGTTCCTATTTGATGGCATATAACACACATAACAAGACTTATTTTGCCGTCTTGTTGGGACTAACAGCAGTTTTTGAAATATCTTTGAAGTCAACCTCTCCTGTTGAGGTTGACATTCCATACATTTATATCTACCCTTTTCTCCATTGAGCACAGGCTGACATATAGAGTTTTTCTCTATCCTATGAAATAAGTAGGTGAGGCTAAGAGTGTGGCTGATCTAAGCATCTGGTGAGTTTTATGACGAAGAGGGGATTTGAAAGCAGGTCTTCCAAGCTCTACTTCACAGGTGAGAAACATACTCTCTCCCCCCCCCGAAGAAAATCTTTGGAGCACTGAGATGAGTCTGAAGTCTCCTCGCTGAGATGAAAAAAAAACTTTCTTTCTTTCTTTCTTTCTTTCTTTCTTTCTTTCTTTCTTTCTTTCTTTCTTTCTTTCTTTCTTTCTTTCTTTCTTTCTTTCTTTTGAAGGGCCTATTTCTGTGCCTGGAGGCATAATTAGAAGCAACAGTAATTACTATGAATGAAATATGCAATAATTTGTATATCCTAAATATTAATGAAATATTACATTGAGAGTATTCAGAAAACCAGAAGCTGCTATTTTCCAAAAAAGTGTGGAAGCAATGAATTTCCAAGAGAAAAAGAGGAGCCTGAAGAAGTGTCTCAAATATATAATACACATGACAATCTTGAGGTTCATTGTAACAGTCTAAATCAAACCACAGCTAAGCGAAACTTAGACCAAACTCCCCAACATTTATCTATCACACCGGTTTCTCAGACCTGATAGTAGGTGGAATGTTTTCAATCCTGCACTCTCCAACCCACCCTTTCAATTGGAAACCAAAGGAGCAATTAGCAATGGGATGAAATCTTGCTACCTAGTGTAAGGACATTTGTAATTTTCAATCTATTCCTAGCCGGCAACTGAAAAGTCTCTGCCATAATTCTTGGTGGATGGTACATGCTACGTGCCAAGCTAGTGTTTGTACGTATACCCCCAAGAATCATGGTAGAATCTTTATTTGCTGGCTAGAAATGACCAGAAAGTAACAATGCTTGATGCTAAGCAACAGGATTACAGCTAATATTTAATGAATGAAAACCATGTTAATATTACCATGATGTCATTGAAGGAGGGTAAAACATGAAACTACTAACATTATGGCCCATTACACAAACAAGTAAAGAATTAAGCTTAACTAATTAAAGTTAAAGAATTATTTCCAAGCTCTGGCATTTTTTTAAAGAGATATGATTACCTTCTCCCTTGTGGGATAAGAGGATTCAGCATGCCAAACTGTTCTCAAGCTACTCTCATATAGGTCCTTCTCTGTCTGCCCATTAGAACATGTTTGATTTATTTTTATTTTTTTTAAAGAAATGTAAGACTTTGGTTTAAACCACTCTTTTGAAGGTTCAGCACCTTATGGAGACACAGTCTACGTCATGGCTCTGCTTGCTTTTTCCTCTTGTATTATAAACAGTTGGAAAGTGACTTGGCACTTGAATTTTAGGCAAAAACATAAGAAAAATTAAAAAATGAAGAAAACAAAACCATTGTGGCACCTTAAACACCAACTGCTATATTTTCATGGACAAGTCCACTTCCCCAGACAATCTAGCCCTTGGAAGGTCAGAACATTGCAAGGAATTGGAGTTGTTGCTTCCCCAAGCCCCGAAATGAAGACGCAACACAACCATTCTTTGGAATTTAAATACGGGCCACACTTTATTAATACCAATTCAAATGCAACCATATAAATCAAATCCAAACTTGAGGGGGCCTGCGGTAGTGCGGGAAATAATGCCAAATAACTCCTTGTCAGTCAATGGGTGAGTCCCAGGCCTCAGGTTCCATCTGTCTAACGACCGGAGAAACCTGTCAGGCCTCAATTAAACACCCCGGACCTCTAGCCATCGTATTTAATGACTTTTGTTTCGAAAGTGGTCCAGCGCATCAGCCTCCTTCAGCCCTGTAATCGCACGATCCGCAGAACCGTCAGAACTGACGCGCTGTTTGCTTCATGATAATTACAAAAGGGACTCACCGTGACAACCAGTTATTCCCGCACTACCCGCCCGTGTGACCGATTATATAAAAACCACCATCAAATGCCAACAAACCCTTTTCCAGTGTGGGATAGGCGAAAAATCCCCCCATCCAAAAGCCAATCAGGATGGAGGTCAAAAATTCCTATCCGGCCCCAAAATTGGCGACCAAGTGTAAAGGGGCCGGCGCTTCTTTAAATCAGCACTGGCCCCTCCCCTAGCCTCACGTGGCCCTTTGTTTACTTCTTCCGGACCCGGAGAAGCAAAAATGCTGCGTCACTCAATGGCGCGAAAATGCGCCCTTCGTGCGTGCAGCCGTTTACCTTGAGCTTGAAAAATATACAGTGGTGTCCCGCATAGCGACGTTAATCCATTCCAGGATTAACGTCGCTATCTGGAATGTCGCTAAACGGAAATAAAAACCCCATAGGAACGCATTAAACTCCATTTAATGCGTTCCTATGGGGGAAACTCACCGCTGAGTGCGTTCCTATGGGGGAAACTCACCGTTGAGTGAAGATCCTCTGTAGCATCACCATTTTTGCCGCCTCAGTAAGTGAGGGCAGCGCGCGAAAACGCTGCGGGCAGCCATTTTGTGCACTAGGCGGCCATTTTGGAACCGCTGATCAGCTGTTTAAAAAAACATCGCAATGCGAAGATCGGTAAGCGAAACGCTTACCGATCATCGCAATGCGATTTTCAGCCATTTAGATCATTGCAATGCGATCGCATTTGCGATCGCAAAAAACGCGTCGCTATGCGGATCCGTCGTTAAATGGTGCGCTCGTTATGCGAGGCACCACTGTATACATTTTGCAATACTGTCCTTACAATCCTGCTGCTGGCATGTCTGGGGCCATAATAGCTAGGAAATTCTAGGCCAAAAGCATAACTTTTCGTGCTGGCCTCTGCATCTTTCATGCTTGAGCAAAAATACAAGCCCACCAAATTTGGCAAATTGATCCTTAACAAGTGGGTTGAGTGATAAAATGGTCAACATACAATTATTGCTGTCAAAATATTTTGACAGATAAAACTTATTTCACTAAGGAATCCCACCTATTGTTTATGAAACAAATTGAAAATCCATGACATAGTGAAACATAGTGAAAGAGCTTGTTGCTTTTAATTGAACTGAGCTCTTAAGACAGAAAAATGTGAGCAATTAATGATAAAAAAACTTGTGCTATTGTGTAGGAGGGCAATTCTGGAGGCTGAAAATGGAGTGAGATATGAGCCAAGTATAATCTTCTTACAAATATTAATAAAAATGGCACTTCAATATAAGAAATTCTATTTTATCCTTGCTGTTTGGCAGTATTTAAAGATACATGCTAAGAATGAAGCCATGTCCGGATGTTCAAACCTCTTGCCATGCATCTTGCCATGTAAATGGGAGAGTGGGATGTATTTTCTACTGGCTGCCTCCATCCCACTGCATTCTCAAAAGCCTTGTCCCAGTGCCCTCCTGTGCTTTGAAGTCAAACTTGTGATGCAGGAAGCCAGTTTTACATAAGCACCACACAACTTAGCACCCTGACTGAACAAGGTTTTAAATTAATTAAATTAATCTATGGTTCTGGAGCCGGAGTCCTGGAGGCAGTTTGTGTCATTCTGTCAACTCCTGCGACATCGCTGAAACCAGTTGTATTGGCTCTTGCCTTTCCATTGGACTATTTCAGTGATGTGGAGAGGGGGGATTTGCTGGTTGGGTAACAGCCTATCCTCCGTATTATTTTACCCAGGTTTCGTGACCTGGAGAGGACACTCCAGCTTCGCGTACAGCGACAAAACACTAGACGCTGTTCCAAGTCCTCCATATAGGGCACGTTACCATAGTCTCTCAAGACTGAAGAGTGCCTATGAATAATGTCTATGGTATCATCACTGCAGGATCTTTTTCAGACACTGAGATGCCCAGGGCAGCACATTCTTTTGAGTCCTGTTCTTCTGCTATCTTGTCTCAGTTGATGTGACCTCTTCCATGAGGTCTTACTTATAGGTGAAACATGGGCAATTAACCCTTATGATCTGTCCCCCACAGACCCGTTATCAATGCATGTATACTTTATATAGTAACATCTGCAGCAAGAGAAAATGAAATTAAAAGACAGCTCTAACAAACTAAGGCTAGCATCCTGTTATCAAAACATGAAATGGAAGGGAAACTGGAAGAATTTTGGAAGAATG